TAGGCTGGAGTGTAGTGGTGCAATCTCAGCTCACTACAACCTCTGACTCCTGGGTTCAAGCAATTCTCTTGCCTCGGCCTCCCGAGTGGCTGGGATTACAGGTGCATGCCACTGCGCCTGGCTAATTTTTGTATTTTTAGTAGAGACAGGGTTTGGCCGTGTTTGCCAAACTGGTCTCAAACTCCTTACCTCAGGTGATCCACCCGCCTCAGCCTCCCAAAGTGCTGGGATTACAGGTGTGAGCCACTGCACCTGGACAGGAAATGTTAATAACTGAAACATCAGCCTGGATACAGAGATGGATATGGATGCAACATGTTTAGCATGATGGAGCCAGCTGGTCATAAAGCAGAGTCATCTACCTACTCTAGGCCCCAGAGAAAAGAACTTCTGTGCTATGAATGCCACTATATTTTGGAGTCCCTGTTACAGCAACTTAAGCTGATCCTAATGCAGTCCGCCTAGATGGTTACTTAAATTTTCTCAACTTCTATGTCCTCCTAGTTTTTCATCTCTTTGTATATTTTTATCGTACTTCCTAGAAATTTCGTTAACTTTGTTCTTCAATGCTTCTACTGAGTATTTTCATTTCTGCTATATTTTTAATTCCCAAATTTTCTTGTTTTGTAGATGCTATATCTTTTTTTTTTTTTTTTTTTTTTTGAGATGGAGTCTCGTTCTGCCACCCAGGCTGGTGTGCAGTGACATGATCTGGCTCACTGCAAACTCTCCCAGGTTCAAGAGATTCTCCTCCCCCAGCTTCCTGAGTAGCTGGGATTACAGGCACACACCACCACGCCCAGCTAATTTTTGTATTTTGTATTGGTCAGGCTGGCCTCAAACTCCCGACTTCAGGTGATCCGCCCTCCTTGGCATCCTATGTAGATGTTATATCTTTTTAAAGTCTTTGTTTTCCTCCTAGTCTGTTTCTTCCAAGTTACTTTTATTTATTTATTTTATTTTATTTTTTGAGATGGAGTCTCACTCTGTCACCCAGGCTGGAGTGCAGTGGCGTGATCTTGGCTCACTGCAACCTCCGCCTCCTGGGTTCAAGCAGTTCTCCTGTCTCAGCCTCCCAAATAGCTGAGACTACAGGCACCCACCACCACACCTGGCTAATTTTTGTATTTTTAGTAGAGACAGGGTTTCATCATATTGGTCAGGCTGGTCTCGAACTCCTGACCTCAGGTGATCCACCCACCTCAGCCTCCCAAAGTGCTGGGATTACAGACGTGAGCTACCACACCCAGCCAAGTTACTTTTATTCCTGTTTGTTTTTGTCTATACCTTTCTTTAAGTGCCTAGTTAACCTTGGCTTTCTTCTTACATTTAAGAGAGAGGCACTACAAAGCTGAATGGAAACTCTGTGTTCGTGGATAGTTCTTTTTGACTGTGGGTTTCAGTGTAGGCCAATGGTTCTCAATGGGGATAGTTTTGCTCCCCACCCTTGTGGTATATTTAGCAATGTCTGGAAACATTTTTGGTTATCAAAACTGGGAGAAGGGTATGATACTAGCATCTGATGAATGGAGACCAAGAACACTGCAAAACATCTTAAAATGCACAGGATGGTCACTCAAAACAAAGCATTGAAAACATCAGTATTTTAAATTGTTTCTCTTGGGCAGATTATCCTCTTCAGAGAAGACTCTGCCAGCATGCTACCTTGCTGCCAGTAATCTCTGATCCTGGCAGTGCTGGCAACTCAACTTCAGTGAATGAACTTTTACTTAATCCCCCTGTTTTAGCAAAATGTCCCTGCCCTCAAATATGCTTATGTCTCTTGGTCCAGACTCCCTTTGCTTCGCTTTCTCCAGATATCAGGATTTTAGTGGTATTCTGTTGGAGTTGGGATGGGACATAGAATAGTAGGGAGGGTATTATAAATAGCCTTTCAATCATCCTGTTTTGGTTCTTCTTTTATCTACATTTTCAGAGGTACCCGATGTCTTTTCACTTCTTGGGCTCTTTGAGGGTTCCATAATATAATTCAGTTGCCTTTTTTTCCTACTATAGGCATACAGATTAGCTTTTCTGCTTGGGGTCTGCTAAGTCAGTTTTTATTAGTCCACCTGCTTTCCAGCTTCCAATATATTTTTGAAGAGATGGGGTCTTGCTATGTTGCCCAGGCTGGACTTAAACTCCTGTGCTCAGCTGGGTGCAGCGGCTCATGCCTGTAATCCCAGCACTTTGGGAGGCCGAGGTGGGTGGATCATGAATTCAGGAGATCAAGACCATCCTGGCTAACATGGTGAAACCCCATCTCTACTAAAAAATACAAAAAATTAGCCGGACATGGTGGCAAGCATCTGTAGTCCCAGCTAATCGGGAGCTGAGGCAGGAGAAAGGCGTGAACCCGGAAGGCAGAGCTTGCAGTGAGCCAAGATCACGCCACTGCACTCCAGCCTGGGCAACAGAGCAAGACTCCATCTCAAAAAAACAAACAAACAAGCAATCAAACAAACAAACAAACTCCTGTGCTCAAGTGATCCTCCTGCCTTAGCCTCCCAAGTAGCTGGGACTACAGGTGTGCATCACCATCCCAAGCACCAATATTTTTACTTTTTCTTTTCTCTTGTTCTCTATGTTCTTATGTGTCTTTTTAAAAGTCCTTTTATAAATCTTGTGGGATTTCAGGAAGGAACAGATCTAATCATGTGTTCAACTTGTTCTCTTAAATGGCAACCTTTTCTGTGTTTTACCTCACTCTTTATTAAAGTCAGAATGTATATCTTATGTCAACTCCAGCCATGAGATGATTTTATGGAGAATGTGAACTGTGTCCTATTTATATTTGTATACTTAGAAGCACTTAGCCTGATGTCTTGTACAGAGAAGGCACTCAATACATTTGTTACATTGAATTTATGTAATACGAATGCACATCTGCTTTAAGTGCTTTTCAGATTGATACATCAATGGAAACATTTTTATTTTTGTAATTCTTTAATGGACAAAACAATGCTGTAAGTAAATGTCCATAAGCTTTGCATGCCTGAGTAGAACGACCTGAACACATGGGACATGTAAATCATGTTGTTCATTCATGATACTCTGCAAATAGTCTAATCTACTCACTCCAGTGGCCAATTTCATTTCCAGATCTCTCACCTGAAGACAGATTTTTTTTTCACCTGAAGATAGATTATCTTATAGCTTCAGCATTAGAAGATATTTTTAAAACAATGAAGTTGAATCACATTTACTTGACAAACTCTCTGGCTGTAAATGTGTATTTCTAATAGATGAATGGTATTAGAACTTTGAGTTTGTATCAACATAATTTTAATAAATATTTGTTCAATTTACAAATGAATGAAAATATACATAAAAAATGTGTGCTTCAGTAGATATATATTGTCAGTGACCAAAGTCTGATCACTGAACCCATTTCCTAATATAACAGAAACTCTCTTGTTAATTAGATGCCTAATATGTGGTACTATTTCTTGGAGAGCCAGCATTCACAAGTAGAAATGAGAATGGCACCACTCACTATTACTCCTAGTGACCCACTAGCAAAATTTTTGCTTCCTGTTCTAATGACTTTATGCCCTGCTGGGCTAGAGGTCCAAAGGAGGAGTGCATCCACCAGGAGATACAAGAATGAGTGAATTGGAATTGAAGATTGCCACCTGGCCACTTTGGGCTCCCTCTAAATCAATGGTTAAAGAAGAGAGTTACTGTGCTGGCTGGGGTGATACCAAGGGGAAATTGGACTACTACTCCACAATGGAAGTAAGGAAGAGTATGTCTGAAATACAGGAGATCCCTTACGGTATTTCTTAGTATTATTATGCCCTACTATTAAGACTGATGAAAAGCTACAACAAGCTAATCTAGGCAGAACTGTGAATGGCCCAGGCAATTCAGGAATGGAGGTTTGGATTACCCTACAGGTAAAGGATCACCACCAGCTGAGGTGCTTGCTGACATCAAAGATAATACAGAATGGGCGATAGAAGGTAGTTATAAATACGAGCTATGACCATGTGACAAGTTATAGAAATTGAGAATATAATTATTATGAATATTTCTCCATATTTTGTTATGAATATGTGTGTGTATATATACACATATACACATATATATACACACACACACACACACACAAAAAACCCAAATATCTTTATTTTCTTCTCTCTTTTATTCTCTTATAAGTTATATTGACTTTAGGCTGGGTGCAGTGGCTCATGCCTGTAATTCCAGCACTTTGTGAGGCTGAGGTGGGTGGATCACCTGAGGTCAGGAGGTTGAGACCAGCCTGACCAACATGGCAAAACCCCATCTCTACTAAAAATACAAAAAAATTAGCCAGGCATGGTGCTGTGTGCCTGTAATCTCAGCTACTCCAGAGGCTGAGGCATGAGAATCACTTGAACCCAGGAGGCAGAGGTGCAGTGAGTGAGCCGAGATTGCGCCATTGCACTCCAGCCTGGGCAACAAGAGTGAAACTCCATCTAAAAAAAAAAAAAAAGATATGTTGACTTCATATTATCATACTATAATATAATACGTAAGTACTGTTAGTTTTATATCATCATATTTAAGTTATAAAATCTCAAGGAGAAGAGTTAAACATCACTCAAGGACTTTATCTCCTCTTCTGGAATAGGGGTTAGTCATGTTCAGTTGTATGAAGATAGTGGTATCATACTAGGTATAATTATGATCTTGTTATTGTCTTTATTTGGAGATACATATAGATGCCAGGTTAACAAGGAATGGATTTATGATGGTTAATTTATTTGATCAAATGTCATTCTGGGTGCATCTGTGAGAGCATTTGTGGATGAAATTAACATTTGAATTGGTAGACTGAGTAAAGCAGATTGCCTTTCCTAGTGTGGGTGGGCTTCATTCAGTCAGTCCATTGAAGACCTGAAAAGAATAAAAATGCTGAATAAGAGGGAACTCCTCCTTCCTGACTGTTGGGGGGTGCATTAGTTTTTTCTGCCTTAGGACTCAAACTGAAACATTGACTCTTTTTGAATCTCCAGCCTGCTGGCTTTCAGACTGGAACTACACATTAACTCTCCTGGGTCTCCAGCTTGTGGAATGCAGATGTTGGGACTTCTTAGACTTCTTAGCGTCCATAGTCATGTGAGCCATTTGTTGTAATTAATCTCATTGTCTACCCATATCTAGATATATATGTTTCCCATTGGTTCTGTTTCTCTAGAGAACTCTGACTCATAAAGATATGTTAATTATAAATAGAAAAGTGATTGCACTATTAAAAAATCTTGTTGTTCAGGCTGGGCACGGTGGCTCACGCCTGTGATCTCAGCATTTTGGGAGGCCAAGGCAGGTGTATCACCTGAGCCCAGGAGTCCAAGACCAGCCTGGCCAACATGGTGAAACCCCACCTCTACCTAAAATACCAAAAAATACAAAAATTGGCTGGGCGTGGTGGTGCACGCCTGTAGTCCCAGCTGCTTGGGAGGCTGAGGCAGGAGAATCACTTGAACCCCAAGTAGGCAGAGGTTGCAGTGAGCCAGGATCACGCCACTGCACTCCAGCCTAGGCAACAAAGCAAGAATCTGTCTCAAAATTAAAAAAACAACAACAACTTGTTGTTCAATGCTTATTAACAACCACATGTGGATTTTATGTGTCTCTTGACAGTTTTAAAGTATGTTTTATTATTTATTGTTTATTATCCATTTAATTTCCTAAGATACATAGATTACTAGAGAAATCAACAAGATGTTATTTCTATACAGCATGTCTTAAAAAATATATCAACATTTAAATATTCTTTATCAATAAGTTATATTTCATATTCACTGTGTACGTAACAACAGAAGCATAGGAAGTAAATGTTACAGTCAAGATGAAGTGTACGAATGTCCATGTCTCAGAGAAGTGGATGTTCCTGAATTTACCTATGGCAACATTTGGAGCAAGTACCACTTGTTACCATCCTTATGCTATGCTTACTTAAAGACAGGGCCAGCGTTAAAACGTTTGCTTCTTTACAGCGATTTGATTTTCCTTTCAATTCTAATGTTGCCCAATTGCTCTATTCAGATAAAGTCATTTAATCTCTGCTCTTGGCCGGGCGCAGTGGCTCATGCCTGTAATCCCGGCACTTTGGGAGGCCGAGGCGGGCGGATCACGAGGTCAGGAGATCGAGACCATCCTGGCTAACACGGTGAAACCCCGTCTGTACTAAAAATACAAAAAATTAGCTGGGTGTGGTGGTGGGCGCCTGTAGTCCCAGCTACTTGGGAGGCTGAGGCAGGAGAATGGTGTGAACCCGGGAGGCGGAGCTTGCAGTGAGCCAAGATCAAGCCACTGCACTCCAGCCTGGGCGACTGAGCGAGACTCCGCCTCAAAAAAAAAAAATAATAATAATAATAATAATAATCTCTGCTCTTCTGATTGATATTTTAATTATTCAATCCTTTCCAGCTGCGTCCACCCTAGCTCTTTATGAAGAATGGAGAACTATGCTTTTTATATTTGAATGATAAAACTATTGATAGGGTCATTTTTTTCTTCAAAAAAAAAAAAAAAAAGAGAGAGAGAGAAAGAAATTACCCACCAAAAAGAAAAAAGAAAAAAAACCATTCTGCTGCTCAGAATACCACAGGGAAGATGGTTGCATATCATGCATATCAGTTCCCTTTTAGTGGTCTATTAACATTTTAAAGACTATGACAACTATTTAAACTAATTATTTGGTTTTACAACAAAGAAATATGTATACATTTGTGCATACATATAAATCTTGGATTAGTCAGATGTAAGCCAAGATCTCATTTTGATTCTCCTGGGGTCCCTTGTTTGTATTCCTAGGTCTTCAGAGACTAGATTCTCTGTGCATCTGAGGATAACTACTGGCTGATCTAGTACAGGCAATAATGTGACTCTTGGAGTGACGAATAGACTTCCATCAAGACAGCCTATCTGTTGGATCTTTATTGGTTTTGAGAAACAGAAACCAACGCAAGTTAACTTCAGCAAAAAGTGAGAAATTCAAGGATGAAACCAAGACCACGTCTCAGGATGGGATTGGAACTATGCACCAAACACTTGGTCTGTCCTTGTTCTACTCTACATGTCTCTAAGTTGTCCCAGGCTTTGTGGTAGAAAATATAGCTACACAAACTCCGTTATTATTTTATATATATATATATTTTGAGACAGAGTTTCACTCTTGTCACCCAGGCTGGAGTGCAATGGTGTGATCTCAGCTCACTGCAACCACTGCCTCCCAGGTTCAAGCAATTCTCCTGCCTCAGCCTCCCGAGTAGCTGGGATTACAGGCGCACACCACCACACCCAGTGAAGTTTTGTATTTTTAGTAGAGACGGGGTTTCACCATGTTGGCCAGGCTGGTCTCGAACTCCTGACCTGAGGTGATCCACCCACCTTGGCCTCCCAAAGTGCTGGGATTATAGGTACGAACCACCGTGCCCAGCCCAAACTCCCATTTTTTATATATCTTGCATTAAAGATTTCAACCCACACAAAGACCAGACCTCATTCCCAATCCCAATTTTTCCAAGGAATCTCTATTCAGCCCAGATTGTAGCCAACATGATGGTTACGGGCCATATATATGCCTAAGGTGAGCAGCAACTCTCTGGGCTGGTGGTGAGGTATGGGATTTGGGGTGGGTAAGAATTTACCAAGACAGTTGTAGGTAAAGAAAGGCCGATTTATTAAAGAAAGTATGAGAATATGTTGCCAGGGAGCAGTGGGCAGAACCAGCAGAAGAGGAGCTGTCTACAAGGAAACAAAGGCTTGCTGGAGATTTTATTGGATGGTTGTTGGGCTGATTGATAATGTGAAGGTAGCAGAAAGCCAACTTGCATTCTTCTGTCAGCCAATGTGTTTGATGATGGATTGAAGCATTTGGTGATAAGCAGAAAGTTTGTGAGTTGTGTATGTTATTTGCTCAGAAGGACTATATGTCCTGGGCCATAAAGAGAGACAGACTTATAGCTTATCTGCTTCCTCTTTTCGCTTATACATCCTGGACCATGAAGAAAGGCAGACCTATAGCTTATTTACTTTATCTCTTTGCTTTCCCTTCATCCTACCAGTCTGACTCCTTTTCCCTAATTAGGACTCCACAATATATAACCATGGCTGCTTGGAAGCCTACCTGTGACCATGTGGATAAGCAGAGAAGGGAGAGGTTTGTAGAAAAGGGGAACTGGGTGCCAAATCTAATAGGTGTCCAGTGCAAGGCCCTCTCTTCCCTCTTAATGGAAAATGAATCTTAAACAGTGCCCTTCTGGAGACCACACTGGGGAAAAGGAAGTAGATGGTATTAAGTAGGTTTGGTAAAGGGAGGAATTTTGAGGCAACTGGACCTTTCCAGGACCCTTCAATTCATACCATATGTATGGTTCTTTACAAAAATATAAAACTCATTATTTGGGCCATTCTTTTTTAAACTTATGTTTTATTTTTAAATTTTTATCTATTTACCTATTTTGAGACCAGGTTATGAGACTGGCTAATTTTTGTATTTTTGGTAGAGACAGGATTTCACCTTTCACCATGTTGCCCAGGCTGGCTCAAACTCCTAGGTTCAAGCAATCCACCTGCTGGGCCTCCCAAAGTGCTAAGATTACAGAAATGAGCCACCACATCCAGCTGCATATTTGGACCATTTTTATACAAAAAGATTTAATTGATTGTGGCAAACATTATTGGATAATGATCCGTCTTCAAATGCAAATATATATTGATTATCTGGATCATCTTTGCCAAGATTCAATTCAGTTACCATAGTGCCTGAAATGACCATAATGTACAAGCAGTGACTCTGTTGTCACCATTCTGTAAATCAATGGGTTTCAGCCTCAGATCCCAGGACATCTAGGGATCTACAAGGAAAAAACTGAAGACCCATAAGGTATTTCTAGTATTTCATAAAGTCTAAAGCAAATAATACACTTACCGGGCACAAAGCTATGATGGATTACCTAAAATATCAAAACATCAAAACCATCAAATTTCTCTGCTTTAGAATGAAATGATATCAACTCAGGACAGCAAGTCTGTTATTCCATGCTGGTCTTAATCTCTGCTTTAGTGCATGCATGCTTGCGTGCATGCACACGTGTGTTTATGTGTATCCTTGGTTATACAATCTGAGCAAATGAATGCCATTCTGGAAGAAATGTGATTCAATGTCATCCTGAGAGGCATTATATGTGGCCACTACTATTCAGGTTATATTCTAAAAAATGTAGAAAAAGAAATGTAAGGCTCAAGGTTAATAAAGTCATCTTTCCTGGAGATCTTTAAACATGAGATAATTAGCCATCTCTCTAAAATAATTACCTCTAGAAGATCCTTCTACTTCCTTTCAAAATATATTAAAATATCATCTACCCCATTATTAGAAGTTGTACTGATTAGGATAATATATTGTCTTAATGGCTGAGACCTGTGGATAATAAATTGTCTCCAGAGACGTTCTGCATTTAGAGCATAAATTCTGGGCCACCCTCTGAATGTCAAGACTTTGAGTGTTCTGGATTTCCTGCAATTTCTGGTCTCCATAATGTTTGCAAGCACTTGGTTATTTCTCTGCTTCATCCCATGATTAGGCCCTCTGGACTTGGATGTAAAGAACAGGATGGATAGAAAAGGTTTCTATAATACGAATCTACTTATAGTCCAGGTTATCAGAAACCTTTCAAGCCTTAGGCACTTATACATATAATTTCCAGAAATCCACACTGGAGCAAAGTCACTCCTCTTTCTTATAGTCAGCTGATATCAATAGGTCATTTTCAGCAGCCTCACCAAGGCTCACAGTTCTACACTAAATTGCTATTCCAACCCACCATTCAGAAAAGCAATTAATCTCAATTCAAATGAGAAGCCTGTTTAGGGTGGTATGGCTGTAGATGCAAATCACCTTTAAATATCCCCTCTGTTTCAGTCTTTGAAATGGTATTTCTAAATTTCAAAAAAGTTAATGATATTTCTAAATTTGAAAAAAGTTAGAAGGCCCAAATTCTAGTAAGTATTAGTTTTTTAAAGCATCATTTAAAGTTACATATTTATTAAAAATCAATTCATATGTGATGGACAAAGCACTTCCTAAACGTGCATCTTTGTGAGGCTATAAAAATTGGGAGAGGACCGGACACGGTGGCTCATGCCTGTAATCCTAGCACTTTGGAAGGCCGAGGCAGGCAGATCACGAGGTCAGGAGTTCAAGACCAGCCTGACCAACATGGTGAAACCCCATCTCTACTAAAAATACAAAAATTAGCCAGGCGTGGTGGTATGTGCCTGTAGTCCCAGCTACTCAGGGGGCTGAGGCAGAAGAATTGTTTGAATCTGGGAGGCGGAGGTTGCAGTGAGCCGAGATTGTGCCACTGCATTCCAGCCTGGCTGACAGAGAGAGACTCCATCTCAAAAAAAAAAAAAGAAAAAGAAAAAAAGTGGGAGAAGTAGGTAGGACATGTATTAAGGAGAGTAAAGTCTTCTCCTCACCCTTGAATGCTTGTACAGGATATTCTTTGTAAAGCACATATGCTGAAAATTCCGCTTTTCTTCCTTGAAGCATCTGTGAGCCTTTCTTTTTTAGATAAAATGAGCTTTTTTGGTGGACACATGACAAGGAAGAGGTTCAATGTAACAAGTGATCATGTTATTTTAAAAAGCTCCGTCTCAAATTAAGTTTACATATGGTAGCCTTTTAAGGCTGTGGGTTGCAACATGTGAACAATTTTAAAGTGTAACATTTCATTTACAGGTTCAGAATAGCTTTCAATTCTCTTACTAGTGTGCTTCTGATTAAATCTTAATTGTACCATTCATTGTGAAACGAAAGAAATGCTGTTATACTGGGTTTTTGCTAAGGGGAAATCAAGATGGCCCTCAAAAAAACTAAGTCATCCATGGAAAAGGAATAAAACTATGTGGAAATGAGCCATAAAATTAAAGCCTACCATTTAGATTTGCATAATTAAAAAATTATCACAAGTCATACCTTTTTTGATAGACCCAAGTTATTTAAATATAGGTGATTAGTTATTATAAATCATCTGAATGCATGAAGAACACTGAGTAAGTGGCAGGCAACATGTAATGAAAATGACACATTCAATAATTGAAGTTGCTACTTTACCATACACTAATTTTTTTTTTTTTTTTTTTTTTTTCTAGTATTTCATAAAGTCTAAAGCAAATAATACACTTACCGGGCACAAAGCTATGACGGATTACCTAAAATATCAAAACATCAAAACCATCAAATTTCTCTGCTTTAGAATGAAATTATATCAACTCAGGACAGCAAGTCTGTTATTCCATGCTGGTCTTAATCTCTGCTTTAGTGCATGCATGCTTGCGTGCATGCACACGTGTGTTTATG